AAAGCTTCAAACGACGCGTCGACTATTAAATCAGTCGTCGACGATTTTGATAGTCGACGTAATCGTGACTAGTCGACTAATCGTGGCAGCCCTATTAGACAACCATGGGATTTTCTCAGATCTCTCGGAGTAAATTTTGTAGCTGTGCCACAGTTTAGTCCAGCACGGACTGACGGACAAATCAAACACACAGGGCAATGAAAACGGTCTGTAATCAGTGACCCATAAAAAATAACCTGAGACAGCCCGAGACTCAAAGTTTATTTATTATTCAGAATATTAATTGAATTGAATTGAATTGAATTGAATTGAATTGAATTGAATTGAATTGAATTGAATTGAATGCTTTATTGGCCATATGCAGGTTGCCCCGCAGAGGAATAGGAACCCCCGATTTACACACACAACAAAGACATCACATTAAACAGTGTGTGTTGACATTTCATTGTTTGTCTGCAGTGAAACAAAACATTTACTGGCCCTGAGTGTTTGTTACTGGACCTGTTTAGATTAAGGTTCAGTTAAACGCCTGTTTCATTCTGCGTGTTACGTGTTTCCAGCTTTGCTCCATCACACACAGAGATTAAGCTTCTTAAAGAACAATCAGCACACAAACCAAAATAAATCAGGAGGGCAAGCCAGCTCCTCCATGAGCACAGATGGCTGATTCACTCTGAATCGCATTTATTTACTCCAAACTCTAAATAGCTTTTGTTAACCTCAGAGCAGGTCACCTGCAGACTGAGTGGTGCCCGTTTCCTCTGTGCAGGTTTCGGGGGGGTCTGGATGTGTCTCACGGTCAGACGGGGTCTCAGTCCATCTACACGGTCCACCGGCAGCAGGAGATCATGTTCCACGTGTCCACCAAACTGCCCTTCACCGAGGGAGACGCCCAGCAGGTAGGCGGCATGAAGATGGCGTGACAGAGAAACAAAACACAGAATGAGTCAGCGTGAAACAGGAGGACGGGCTGCGACTCAGCAGCAGCAGCAGACGGTTTGGCAGGCTGGCTCCGTGTGAAGCAGACGCCTGCAGCAGGAAGGGATGCTCGTCATCACGTGACCCTGTGTCTGCACAATCACAGCATCTCAGTCTACACCAGAGATGGGCAGTAATCCGATTACTTTTTTCAAGTAACGAGTAAAGTAAGGGATTACTATTGCAAAAACGGTAATTAGATTACCGTTACTTTCCCGTAGGAACGCTGCGTTACTGCGTTACTAAAACCGTGATTTATTTGCGAGAATGTCTCACGACATTGACGTAATCGAGTGCGACGTTCGTGACAACAGCTGTGTGCAGATCAACAATGGATCATATATCGAGTGCAGAGAGAGTATGAGCGTGCAGCGTTTAAAGCTTGGAAGTACTGACCTTACTTTGAGTTTGATTCCATAAAAAGTGACAAAAACATTAGTGTCCGCTGTGCGTGGGAAGAAAACTTCTTTTTACAGCGAAAACACCCCTAAACTTCCAACAAGCACCGAGTAGCTACGACGTAATGGGAAACTCAGAGAAACTCACGGATTCTTCCACTGACCGCGGCACACCTGCACCAGGGTAAACCTCCGCCTACCCCACTCCTGCTTTACAGGTGAAAATAGAGCAACAGGACCGCTGAGTCTGTGACTTTATTTATTTTCTGCTGTGTTTTACTTGCATCTATTTGAAAGACTGAGTGTAAACACACAAAATATTTTATTTTATGTGCTGGAATGTGCAGAAAATAGGTTTAAATGTTAAACTAATTTATTCCAGTCAGAGAATGTTGCAGATAATTAAATGTTTGCTTGATGCATAAAGTTAAAAGATTAAAACTAATAAAACAAGTTTTAAAAAGATCTGTCGCTTTATCACCTCTTCAGGTTGTAAATAGTGTTTTTTAAAAGTAACTAAGTAACTAAGTAACTAAGTAATTAATTACTTTTGAAAATAAGTAATCAGTAAAGTAACTGGATTACTTTTTTGGGGAAGTAATCAGTAATTAGTTACTGATTACTTTTTTCAAGTAACTTGACCAACACTGGTCTACACCAACAGCACAAACAGGTGAAGCTAGCAGCTACAGGGGACATGATCTAGAGCCAAAAATGGTTTTATTTATTTATTTAGTATCAGCCTGTAAACGTGTTTGTTGCTGCTGTAAAGTTTGAACATGTGAGCGACTCACTGCGAGAGCCTCTGCTGGACGTCAGAGGAACTGCAGCTGTTGGTGCTTCAGTGTTTGCACCTGCTTGCATCCAAACACAGCGTGTTCAGTCAGACTGTTGTTCACTGACTGACAGTTTGTCTTGTAACAGTGTGACAGAAGCACTTTGAAGTTGTTGCTGTGCTTCATAAACTTTATGAGCCGTCACGACTGCACGTAACAGCATCACTCTGTCCTTCAGCTGCAGAGGAAACGGCACATCGGAAATGACATCGTGGCGCTGGTTTTTCAAGAAGAGGCCACGCCTTTCGTCCCCGACATGATCGCCTCCAACTTCCTCCACGCCTTCATCGTGGTGCAGGCGGAGGAGCCGTGCTCTGAGACCACCTCCTACAAGGTACACGCCGGCTTCCTTTTCTCCACGATGGAGGTTTTTTATGGATTAGACTCTGTTGCCTGTGAGGTTCATGGCGTCAGATGCAGTTTAATCTGGGAATCAAAGAAGAGCTTTAATCTGAATTCACAGAAACAAACCCAAATCCTCGTGGTGCCTGAAGATTTCTCTTTCAGCCTCTGAAACATGACAACAACGGAGATGAAGCCTCACACCAGAGGCTCCTCCTCCTCTAACTGAGGAGAGGAAGCGTCTCTATTATTGCTCATAGCTGGGTGGGCTTGCGTGGGTGGGGATCAGACACAGATCTGCCTGTTTCACTCCACCAGTTACAACAGCTGTTCTGACTGACAGGTTTCCGTCACAGCGCGAGAGGACGTCCCGCCCTTTGGCCCGCCCCTCCCCGCCCCTGTCTTTAAAAAGGTGAGGCTGTCGGACTTTTCATAGGAACGTGAGGCTGATCTGAGAGCTGTGGTTAAGTCTGCTGCGTTTTGTACTTCAGGGTCCAGAGTTCAGAGAGTTTCTTCTCACCAAACTCATCAACGCAGAGCTGGCCTGCTACAAGAGCGACCGCTTCGCCCGACTCGAGGTAGAAAGAGCTGCAGGCCGTCCCCCAGAGTCACAACCACACCGTGTGTCTAATAAGACAGACGCAGTGATGCAATCACAGTAACAGATTTCAGTACTGAGCTCATGATGTGACAGGAAGTATTTAATTACCGGGCGTTAGTTCCTTGTATTTATATGAACCTACGAACACATGAAGGCAGGACCAGCAGAATAAAGAGAAACACTCCTGCAGTGCGTCTGTCATTTCGCTGCACTGTTCAGACTGCGAGCGTACTTGATGGACGCTCGAGTGATTTGTTTTGGTTTCGATTATAAGTGACAGTAGAGAAAAATGATTCATATTAAACATAAGGTCAGTGATGTTGCAGAGAAGCCTGACACTCTAAAAGCTGCTCCGCCTGTGCAGAGCATCTGCGACACCTCCTGAACTTTAGAGAAATAACACAGCGAGGACATGAGGGGTTTCATGATTCTTTGCGTCTCCGTCAGGAGCGAACCCGCGCCGCCCTCCTGGACAGCCTCCACGACGAGCTGCAGAGACGCTCCCAGAGCATGCTGGGATTGACGTCAGGGCCGGAGGAGGAGGGCCGAGGGGAGAACGGACAGGCCCACGGAGGACTGCTGGAGTCCATCAAGGTGAATGTTGACCTTTCCTCCTGTCGTCGTCTTCTTCTCCTGCTTTGAAATGATGGTTTGATGGGACGCTCAGAACCAATCCAACTCACATACCTCCACCGAGGAAAGTAGTCCCACTTTACAAGCAGTAAAAGCTGTAATGTGAATGTTAGTGTGTCAGCAGCGTGTTTTAGACTGGAGGTGCTGTCAGTGACGCCGGACTCTTACCTCAGCACGTGATCTGTCACTATTACAGTTTTATTTCCCAGTTTTTGGTCCACGTAAATGTGTTTGACACAGTAATAGACATGTTATATAGAGCATGTTATATTTTCCCTCATCAATGAATTATGAAGTAAATTTATTTCTTTTTTATTTACTTTATGGAACTTGTGCATTTTTCCATCCAACTTTCAGTGATAGTGAAGTTAAAGCCGTGCAGTCTTTATCCACAACATTATGTTTAATTAGTAAGAAAATCATTTTTACAACAACAAAGAAATATTTATTAGGAAAAACATGAATTTCATAGCCAGTAAAAGCAGAGATAAGGTTTTGTTTAAGCTGCAAACAGCTGCTTTCTGTATTAGAGTCACAGTCACACTGTGGAGATAGCTACAGCTTTTATTCTGAAAGGCAAGGGCAGGAAGAAGCCAAATCTTTTTCCATTTCAGAGGGCGATGCGAGGGAGGAGCGTCTCCATGGAGACCATGTCGAGGGGCGGGGTTGGACTGCCCACCAGTTTGAGTGGGGGGGGTCTGGCACACCTGAACGTGGAGGTGAGTCGTTCTGCAGGTAACTGAAGGAGCAGGTTGAACCCGCTCGTCTGTGAGCGGCCCCCGTTGACACCTGGACTCTTTGCGTTGGCAGTGTAACGTCAAGTCTCCCGTGAAGCGGCGCTCGGGACTTTTTCCTCGCCTGCTGAGCGTCGACAGCCAAACAGAGAAGCACAGCCAGAGGAGGTAACGCTGCCCAACGTGCCTCAGTTTGTTTACCTGGACAGTAAAGTTCAAACCCACCAGTGTGCTGTCAGCACGGCTGCACAGGTGGGGGTGCACCTTCAGGAGAGCTGGTCTCGACAGGTGTGCTGTGTACTGCTGAGCTAACAGCTTTAACCTGCCTCCAGGACATTAACCCCGCCTCCTCCTGTCTCTGATACGCCTCCTCAGCCTCCTCGGTGAGCAGAGGAGCTTCGACGGCTGCAACCCGATGCTGGAGGTGAGGCCAGAGCTGCCGTCCAATCCTAGCTCTCCAGAGGCGGGGCAGCGGGACAGGTGTGTGCAGCAGAAGCAGCAGCGAGTGAAAGAAGCAGATGTTTCAGTTTTCACTGCGAAACAATAAACTTCATCACTTTTTCACTTTCACGGGCAGGATTCACACGAAGAAGGAGAGCAGTAAGATTTCCAGGTCGACATCCAGCACCTGCAGCTTCAGCATCCCAGCTGACGACACACACCTGGTGAGAAAACACGCTACATTCAGCTCAGTGTTATTTAGGGCGCCTTGCATTGTAACGCAGACCCTCATCACTGCGTCCTCTCTGTGTCTGTGCGTGTCCAGGCTGCGACGGTAGAAGGTCAGAGTTCAGCTCCGGTCATCGTGTGCCGCAGCCCCACAGGTGCGACGCCCGCTCACCGCCAGCGTTTCTGTTCTGGAGCCGTTCTCACGTCTCGTTTGCTCTCTCCTCTCTCAGAGCTGAGAAACAAGAACTCGCCCAGATCCAACCTGAAGTTTCGCTTCGACAAGCTGAGCCACTCCGCCGCAGTAAGTCTGTGTGACAGCCAATCAGCACGCTCGCTGTTTACCTGGATATGCAGCTGATTGGGCTGCACGACTCTCAGGACGTCACTGCTGTTTTTCATTTTTGTTCAGTGTGATTTTTCAAGTATGTTCTGTGTAATCTGATTACTGAGTGTGAAACCTTCCTTCTGTCTGCAGCAGGGACACTGAGCCGACAGGACGGCGCTGACAGGTGTGTGCTTTCCCAGAAGTCTGCTTTTCAATCCCATTTTTCAAAGTGCTGCTTCTGAGTCTACTTCCTGCTTTATTTTGAAAGTTAGTTCTTCCTGTAGCATCCTATGTTTTACTTCCTGTCTTTGTTGGCTCATGTTCACACTTTCTGGGCCCTGATGTGAGCGACTCTCTGAGCTGGGTTGTATGTGTTCTCCTCTTTCTCTCGCTGCTTTCCAGAATAAAAGCCTGAAGCTTCAAACAGACAGCAGGAGGAGGAGGAAGAGGAGGGTCTCCTGATGGACCACCACACACACATACTTGTCTTTCTGTCTTTGTGAGGACCCCGAGTGCAGCTCTCCTGTTTGTTTTTTTCCTTCTCATCTTCTGCACAAACCATAAAATCATTTCTGAACATAAACGTATGAGTGCGCAGGACACTGAACTTCTTTTTAAACCGTTCTACAGTCAAACTCGAAGCAGAGCTCTTCCTGTTTTGCGCTTCATTCAGTGTAAGATGTAGCTGTAGAAACTTTATTTATCACAGAAACAGCAGCAGCTCTTAAAACTTTACTTTAATGAGCAGTTTGGTTTACGTGGAAACAAACTGATGATGAGTAGCTCCAAACACCAGGGGGCGCTGCAGAGAGGGGCTGAGATTCCACCCAAGGGACCAGGACCCGCAGCTCCCCAAACACCGCTGAGGTGCTCGCGTCCAGCTGGGAGACGTCCTCTCTCCAAGTATTTCAACCAAAACAAGAAAAACAAAAACACCACGGGAGCTCAAAGTTTGGGGATTCACTCGTATCAGCGGCAACCACAAGAACTGTAACGCCCCGCCCCCTGTCTCCCTGTGAGATGATTGGTCCTCAGTGCCGTTTAGTCTTTTTGTCAACCGGCGCGTGCTGGTCCCCCGAAGGTGCCTGGTCCTGGAGGAGAGCTCCTGCGGTGGACACGAGGCCTTTATCACCCTAAAGTTTGTGACTCTGATGGTTTCTCAACACAGACGCTGTGTGACATCATAAAGATCCAAGTACAGAAAAACTGCGGTAAAGCTCGTAATTAGAAATGTTACGTTTGTTACGAACGCCCACCGCGTGAACGGGGAGGAGGAGCTGCTCGATTTATTCTTATTAATAACAAATAATAACACGTGCTGCGGGTTCAGATTCAGACAGACGCTGCCGTTCTCCACGCACACTGTCACATCTGTCGTGTTATTCAATTATACGCGGGTCCACTGTACGATTCATAACCACACTTTATTTACTTGTTCTTGCTCTGCCCCACATAACATAACATTCTATACAGAAACACACCGGTCTCGCCCTCTAGCTGCCATCAGCCTAACTACACTGACCGGCTGCATTAACATCTACTGTACAATGCAATTACACCACAACATCGTGAGCTCCACCTGAACCTTTTTTAAAATGCTGCGGCACACAGCGGCTGAGCGACGGGCTCAGGTGGGCGGTGCTGCAGGTGAGTCAGAGGTGGAGCTGCTGGAGGTCAGGGAGAAGAAGAAGCTTTGCGCTCCCTCTCTGAGGGACAATCGCACCAATTACGTCGAGTCTCGAGGTCACTCACTCCACTGGAAACTGCGCAGCTACAGGAGTTCAGGTTTTCAAAATAAAAGCTCTGGTTTGTTTTAAAAGAGCGACGATGATGCAGCATGAACACAAAGATGTCTGCATGTGTTTCTGATGTCATAAAGTGTGTGTGCGTGTGTGTGTGCGTGATGTAAAGCATGAATCTGTAAAACTGAACATTTCACAAATAAAAATCAGCTTCTTTCAGTGTTTATTGTTGTTTTTGTCGTGTCATTCTCTCCCAACATTAAAGCGGATTATTTTTCGTCCCAGTGGGTTTTTACTTTTGTATTTTTTTACTGAAGACACGCTTCAGCTGCAGAAGTCATTTTTGTCTGCAGCTACAAACTACTGTGCATGTCGTGTTCATGCACAGCTGGAGCCTCAGAGCCAGATGCTGGTTCAAAGCATTGAAAAAGGTTGATTGTCCTTTTGTGAAAGAACAAAAAACTAACAAATAATTAGTTGTTAGTTGTTCTTCTCTGTGTTAATTTGTGTATTTGTGTGTCTGAGTATCTGTTATAAAACAATTAAAGTAAATAAATATGGAACTTTATAAATAAGAGAGAAAATTATTGTTTAACTGAGAGATGAATAAATGTTTTTATACTGCGTTTTCATTAGTTTCTATTTCTGTCACAGCCTTGTGTTTATTTCTTTATTCAGTGTAATTCTGATAATGTTTTACTCTGTTATCATGCTTACCTGTTTATTAATTAGTTTGTACTTTTT